TAAAGAAAAAGGAAACACAGAAACAAACTGGCCATCCAAGCATGATATATTGGTGAAGAGTAGGCTGGTGCTTCTCAGGTGTTGTGAGTCTCCATCTGCCTCACAGACAGAAATTTCACTCCTGTGAAACAAGGCACATCAGGTTCTCAAAATGCAATGCCATTAAACATTAGAATCAAATAATTGTTGCTTCATTCTGACTCCATGCTCACTAAGCAACCTTCTGCTCATTTGGCTTTGCATGCAATTTGTCTACAGGGATGTGCTGATGAGTAATTCTAGTCCACCCAGTCAATATTAGATTGGAATTCTGATTTATTAAGTGTTTTATCTTTGGCTAGCTCAAGTTCATCCTTGGAACATGGATCCACTCGCAGATTGCAGACAAAATTAAATTTCTTGTCATGCTGAGGACCAGTTCACAGACTACGGTGAATCCATTACAGCGAATGCTACCATAGAAGACTCTTGACCGTCAGCCAGCATTTTCTAAACTAAAGCTCTTTGCCTTTCCTGGGCCAAATGTTCACAACTGTCAAGGAACCAGAGTAGATTTAGATTATAGCAACAGGGGGTACTTAATTTTATATGATTGCTTGACTTATTTTTCTGCTCTTGATATTGCTTCAAAATGACCCAGACAACATCATTTTGCAAGCTGCAAAAGTAGAATTGTGAGGGTAGAAATTACCTGAGAGCTGGAGTTAGAAAGTGAAAAGTGGAAATAAACAAAAAGGGGGCTGTTGGAATAAAAAAGGCATCCATGTGATACCTGTTTCACACACTGTTTATCCTTGTGCCCACTACTTCAACTTCAACTCTTTCCTGGTATCTTTTTTTTTCTTTCTTTTAATGACAAAGACAAAATGCTGAGGAGTAAAGACTCTAAGAGACTCTGAAAATGAGGACTGAAGTAAGAGTGTTGGTTGGTAAAATTAATGTTATCCAGAAAATAGATAAACAGGAGAGAGAAAACTCAAAGATACAAATCCACAGTAAAGGAAATTTGTATTATTAAGGCAATAATGCAGTGGTTCTTACATTTGGGGTTAGAAACTGGATAATTTTCTTCACTTATCAGCACACGGGCTATAAAGGAAATGAAGGGAAAAAATAGGCTAAGACATATAGGTAAGGATGAATTTTTTATTAGCTTCATGAATGCAAGGTAAGTTATCAATAAGTAACAAGACAATCACATAATAAAATAATACCAGCTATATTTATCGAACTTGAATTTACAAATATAATAAGCAATTCTCAGAAACTTACACATACATCTAAGTGTGGTTCGTATAAGTTGATGAACAGTTACGATGTGCTAATTCTAAGCAATAAATTAGTTTAGGTCACTGGGGTTAATGATGAAGAGTTTCATACTGAAATCACTAAGTCGGATGTTCTCTTAAGAAATACTTAAGCTGGACCTCCCAGGTGGCACAGTGGGTTGAGCTCCACGCTGTGAAGCTGTCCACAGCCTCTGCAGCGTGGGTTCAATTCCCAGCTGGCCAGGGAGATACCCAAATGGTGAGGCAGACCTCTCCTGCCTTGCCCGCTGCTCCCCTCAGCAGTGTCTTTGGTCCATCTGCCTGTTCTGTTCCCTACTCTGTCTCTGGTGAATTCTCTCACTGTCCCTCGACTCTGGCCTGTACCCTAGTTTTGTATAAATAAGTAAATTTAAAAAAATATTTAAGCTAATTGACTCAGCACATAGTTGCATGTATTCTGGGCAATAAAATAATTTAAAATAAAACAGAACCAAGAAACTATGGACACACATACTGACCTTTATTCATTTATTCCACTTATTCTCATACATATCTACGCATTGTGTCTTAACTCTTCTTTCACTGAAAACCCCATTCATATCCCACTTAAAAGGTATTTATTTTTGCATAGAAGAGCTGGGGTGTGGGCCAGAGGTGTGTGTGGGGGGTGTGGTGAGAGGATTCCCCACAGAATGGGGAGTGGGGAGCAGAACAGGCAGATCTACTGAAATATACTGCTGAGGGGAGCAGCGGGTGAGACAGAAAAGGTCTGATGCATCTTGTGGGTTAGTTTCTTGGCCTGTATTGAACTCAGGCCATAGCAGTGATAGTGCTGAGACTTAACCCCTACACTACCAAGGAGGCCCCATATTCCACTTTTCTCTCTTTTATCCAAGCTTTTGTTGGTGATGTATATATAATTTCATTTATATTGTACTCTATTTTTTCCTTTCCATCTCATATTGGCTTGTCCTCTCATTAAGATCCTAGCATCTGGGCCTCCCTGGTGGCGCAAGGTGTTAAGTCGAAGCACTATGAAACTACCCAAAGTCACTGTAGCACGAGTTCCATCCCCTGTCAGGGAAGTGACCCACATGGCACAACAGACCTCTCCTGTCTGGCCAGCTGTGTCCTTCAGCAGTGTACTTAAGCAGATCCGCCTATTCTGCTCCTCACTCTGTCTCTGGTGAATCCTCGCACCACCTGCCCCCGCCCCAGCACCTCTGGCCTGCACCCCAGCTCTCGTATGCATAAATAAATCAATCTCTTCTTTTTTTTTTTTAAAAAGCTGGGCCTCCCCTGGTGGCGCAGGCGGTTGAAAAACGCACTGTGAAGCTGTCCGCAGGCTCTGCAGCGCTGGTTCCATCCCGGCCAGCGGGCGGCGAGGGTCCCACATGGTGCAGCAGACCTCTCCTGTTGCGGCCGCTGCTCCCTTCAGCAGTGTATTTCCTCAATCTGCCTGTTCTGTTTCCCACTCTGTCTCTGGTGAATCCTCTCACACCCCCCACCCCCCGCGCATCTGGCCTGTACCCCGTTTCTTGTGTAAATGAATAAATAAATCTTTAAAAAAAAAAAAAAGCTCCGGGCCTCCCCGGTGGCGCAGCGGTTGAGCGCTGGGTTGCAAAGTTGCCCGAAGCCTCCACGGCACCGGTTCAATCCCCGGCTGCTCCCCGGCCACCGGAGGAGGGTCCCACATGGCGCGCAGACCTCTCCTGCCGTCCGCTGCTCCCCTCAGCAGTGTACTTCGATCCTTCTGTCTGCTTTGCTCCCCGCTCTGGCTCTGGTGAATTCTCTCACCCTCCCGCGCTTCTGACTGTACCCAGTGCCTGTATAAATAAATAAATAAATCTAAAAAAAAAAAAAAAAGCTCCTGGCATCTCCATCCTCCACTTCCATCTCCATTAATCTGTGTGTTATATGTCCCAGAGGCCTTGCTTCCTTCAGGAACTTTATTAGTATTGTCTCTGGTTTCCTTGGCAACCCCTACCTGTCAAATTTTTTTCTAATTATTTAAGGAAATCTGGCTACATCACTAATAATCACTAACTGGAAATAGTAGAAGAAAAGGAAAATGTCTCTAAAGAAAGAAAAGTGTCCCTTCTCATTTTCTCTGAGAAGGGAAGTGGGCAGATTTAAAGGAGACAGAAAAATACTGAGTCTAAGGAGATGGAAATAAGATGTGTGAAGAAGGTATTGATTTACATGGTTTGTTATTTTAATTTGTCAATACAATGTTAGGAATACACTCAGGAAATGTTCCAGACCATAACCTCATTAGCCGGGCTACTGAATCACCTATCCAACCAAAATTCTCTTAGGCCTAGCTCAACTCATGTGGAGTACAGAAAATCATATTTTTGGACTACTATGAAAATATGAAATACAAACCTTTAGGATAGGAGCAAAAACATGCAAACTAAAGGAACTCCAATATTAACATTAAAAACTACTAGTATACAGGGCCTCCCCGGTGGCACAGTGGTTGAGCGCTGGGTTGTGAAGCTGCCTGCAACCTCTGCAGTGCTGGTTGGATCCCCGGCTGCCGGGCGAGGGTCCCAAATGGCGCGCAGACCTCCCCTGCCGCCCGCTGCCTGTTTTGCTCTCCGTCTGGCCCTAGTGAATTCTCTCACCCTCCCGTGCTTCTGACTGTACCCAGTGCTTGTATAAATAAATCTTTGGAAAAAAAAAAAAAACTACTAGTATACAATGTAAAGGGGACTAAGATTAGTAACTACCAATGTTAACTTTAAGTCTGTTGATGCATTTATAAAATATAACTAGAGAGATTTTATTACTTTGTATAGTATATTCTATATTTCATTCTGTAGTTTCACTACTTTTATTAAATGAAGACATCAGGGTCTCCCTGGTGGCCTAGGGTTTAAGTCTCAGCGCTATCACTGCAGGGACTTGAGTTCAATCCCCAGCCAGGGAGCAAACCCATAGTAGACTCCTGTCTTACCAGCTCCTCCCCTTGTGTATTTCAGTTGCTCTTCCTGTTCTACTTCCAACTCTGTCTCTGGTGAATACTCTTAGCCCTTGCACCTCTGGCCGACACCCCAGTTCTTCAAGGCAAAAATAATTTAAAAAAATGAAGACGCCAGCATGGGGATTATGTGCCTTGTCTAAAGTTAATACAAGTACATACACTGCTGCTAAAACTGATAAACACACTCATTTTTTGGAACCAGTTTCTAAAAATCCCCTAATTAATATTGGATGTTAGTGAACAGTAAGGTGTTTAATGAAGTCCTCATTATAAAAAGCTGAAAATACTTATCAGAAGTTACTTCTTCCTGCTATTCAAGAAAATTGATTGTAATTTGGATTCTAAGCCACGCCAGGTGGGAAATTAAAAAGTGCTGATCTGTATAACCACAGAGTACTACTGAATAAATTCAATATTTGAATTATATTGTTGAGTCACTGGATTGATTATATCTTGGTAACATTTGAATAAAAAGTAAATATGCTATTGACAGTGAATTTATTTATTTAGTCATTACATATTGATAATCACAACATATTGATAATTACATATTGATAATCACAACATATTTCAGCATATTTAGGTCAGGACACTGTGATAACATTCAATTGTTTTTTAAGTAAGATCTTACTGTACATTTCTGGGTGTAGTACTTTTCCTGATTACTGTTATGTTGTTTGCCCATTAGGTTTCCCATCTCATTCCCATTATGAGCTAATACTGCTGTTTGGAGGGCTCTCCGTGTAAACCCCACCCACCTCCATCAAGAGATGAATGCTAACTGGGCCAAACTGACTAGGTTAATCTCCATGGAGAGCTGTCCTATTAACTCAAGCCTGGACCAATCAGCATTCTTTTGGACAGGGTAATGGACAGGGTTCTTTTAGGAATAATTTGATATCTGTAAGATACTGTGCATTAGCAGTGATAAATATAGTTCTAGTACTAAGAGAGATCACAGGATAGTTGAGGCAGATAAAGATATCAGGAGGTCTATAGAAGTTAAAATGGGAAATCTGAAAGCAAGCAAAGGTGGGCCTTTTTTCAGAAGGCTTAATTCAGAATTAATATATTTGAAATGTTGGATAGGAGAGAAAGGACAGATGTCATTAAACTAAGAAAGAGTTTCAAACTTTTGTTTTAGTGCCATGGACCTCTTTGTGAACCCATTTTCAGAACAATGGTTTTTAACTATGCAAAATACTTTGAATTACAAAGCTATCAAAATATTTTTTAACTGTCAGTATAGCAATAAATATGCTTCTTTATTAATGCACTAAAAAGCAAGATCTAATAGTTATTAACATAATTTGGAATAGTGGTGAATGTAAATGACATTTTGAGTTATCTGCAGCAGTCATAATGTGATATGAAAATATCACATGGTTTCTTTTGATTGCAAAGGCTTAGATATTACAAATACTATTAGGTTCATGGCCTACACTCAGAGTAGAAAGTCATGCTAACATTTATTTAGAGATTTAGTTAGATATAATTTCCTGTGCCACTATAGTCTATGCCAAGTTAAAAAAAAGAGATGCAATTTGAATTAATTCTCGACAGACTGTAGGAGATAACTAGGTGAATCAAACAGAAATGAGCTCTGGCCTTCAGGAATAGCATGTGCAAAGGCATGAGGTAATGAAAAAGGATAAGGATTGTTAGCAGATTGCTTTAGTTAAAATAAAGAATGAATTTGACAATGTGGTAGGAGGTAAAGCTGGAAAGATTGGCAAAATCTCATGTCTTTGGCTATGGGTTGACTGCACATTATGGTGATTCACTGTTATTCTGTTTTCACTTTGTTTGAAATTCCTTGCAAACTCTCCATTGCCTCACATTTATAGTGCAAGTTTCTTATAATTACTGTTGTAATCTAGCCTCAGCCTTCCTTTCCAGTCTCATTTATCATCACTTTTCCTGTCAAAAGAATGCTCCAGTGAGTTGCAAATAGTTAGATACATACTATTCTTTTTACCTCTACTTATGATAGTTGGAAGATCCTTCTCTGTGACTCAGTTGCCTCATCTGCAAAAAGCAAGCACTTTAGAGGTGTGGGGGTTAAATCAAACAGTTACTCAAATGTGCTTAGAACTATACCTACCTAACTTGGTAAGCTCTCAGTAAAGGATAGTTATTATAATTATTATTTTTACCTATAATGACTTTTCCTCTTGCTCAACTGGTCAACAACTCCTTTACATTTTTTTTTAAAACCAATTTAAACTTTACTTCTTCCAGAAAGTTGTTCTGATGATCTGACTTCCATTTCCTCCATATAAAATTAATAACTTCACCGTCTATATTTTATTGGACTCGTATAATTTAAATTTCTGTATTTTTCATGATGTAGTATTATATATCTATATAATTTTCCTCTACTATACTATGGAACCTTTAAAGGAAGGGCAGAATATTATCTTTTATGTCAACAGTGCTTCATTGTACATCCTTTCATGAATGGCAGTCATTAATAAGACACTTTAAATTCTGGGTCTAGTGATAAGATATTTCAAAGATATAATGGTAGACTATGTGGTGTAGGTTTTTGATAATAGCATGGTTGGCCACTCTTCCTATACAAATCCTTTATAAATTTGTGTTTTCAAGGTTTTGTTCTAGGCTGAACCTTACTTTCTCACTCTACACACCTTTCCTTGGGAAACTCAGTGACATCCGTGGCATCACTTGTTGTGAGGTAACACTTGAATCTTAACTAAGAGCTCTGTGTCCTATGTTTCATTTCCAAGTAACTGATGTATACATCTAACTTATTTCAGATAGCAACAAGAACCTTCAAATCAATATACAAAAATCAAACTCATTAGAAAAAAAAAATCTTAAACACTATCCATCCTCACTTGGTTCATATTCTCATAATTTCTAGTCACCTGAATTATCCACTTCTTTTAAAAAAACTATTTTTTTCTGATTAATAAAAAGTAATACGTTCTCTTTGTAAAAAGAAACTAAATGTATGCACTGTATGATTTAGCAATCCCATCTACTAGAGATAATCACTGTTCACTTTGTGTGATATATATGTTCTACCAGACCTTTACATGCACGCATTAAGCATACTTACTGACTTACGCAGTAGTTTCCGTTTCTTTGTCACTGGAGTAGTTACCTACTCTTGATACATCTTTTCAAAAACATGAGTGAGTGACACTTCTAAAAGGCAAATTTCATCATGTTGTGCCCTGCTTAACAACCCTAAAAGGCTATTCTTTTTTTTTTTTTAATAGAGGCATGTTTTATTTATTTGTTTGTTTGTTTGTTTATACAAGCACTGGGTACAGTCAGAAGTGCGGGAGGGTGAGACAATTCACCAGAGCCAGAGGGGAGAGCAGAGCAGGCAGAAGGACCGAAGCACACTGCTGAGGGGACCAGCGGGTGGCAGGAGAGGTCTGTGCGCCCTGTGGGACCCTCCTTTGGTGGCCGGGGAGCAGCCGGGGATCGAACCGGCACGGCAGAGGCCGCGGGCAGCTTCGCAACCCAGCGCTCAACTGCTGCGCCACCAGGGAAGCCCAAAGGCTATTCATTTCTTGTAGTATAAAATCTAAACTTTTAAGATGATATTCAAAGTCCTGCATGATTTGGTCCTTGCTGTTTTTCTAGCACTGGTGTCAGATTTGACTGTGTTATATTCCAGTTTTGAAGCATTGGACAAGATTTCAACTGTCAAGAGAAGATCAAAAATACTTACCACAGGGCAATAACAGTATATAAAGAACCCACCATACTGTCTGATTTAGAGTTAATAAATATTGGTTAATGCCAAAGAACAAATTGTTTTTTGTATATTTTATGTTCAGTTTTGCTTTCTGAGTAGGATCCTCTGAGGTGTTAATTGGGTAACATTTGAACATAGTGGGAACAACCACCACCCACCCCCTCACAAAAGAATGAATAGGGTTGACGGTGGGAGGTGAAAACCTAAGTGGCTGAAGAAGAAAGGCCAGTCCCCACAGTTATCATTATAACTTTTTGCTGGAGGCATGGAGGTTGTACCAAAAAAAAAAAAAAAATTGTTTAGAAGCTTTTTGGGAGAAGCAACTATCGTAATAAACGGGACTGTGGAGAGTTTGTTCTTTTGTCCAGGGTTATGCATGTCAGATTTACGATTCTTTTGAATTTGACGCTGTGTGGAGGTTGGCAATGAACGGATTTAGTGATATTCCAGTTACACAATTATTTTCTATCCTTCAGATCAGCGTCCACTCTGCCCTCCCCCGTACTTTATCTTTGACGCCTGCCAGAAACTCATTCATTCAGCAAATATTTGGGTGACCTCCCCTTTCCCTGTCTGCTGACAGGGAAAGTCCTAAACTTTCCAAGGTCAGTTTTCCAAGGTCAGTCCTAAACTCTCCGATGGTGACTTTTCGGACACTCCAAAGCTAAAGTTCGTCCCTCTCCTTTCAGTGCAACCTAGCTCCCCTCATCCCCTTCATTCATCGTGTCAAGATCGTACCCCAGCGCCTGAACGCCTCTCCTGCTCCGCGGAGTTACTTGGCATCAGCAGTGGCCTTTTAGACCTCCACCAGCTCAGGGCACGGCACGGAACAGAGGTCTGGGAAATGTTTACTGAGCGAGTGTCCAGCGCAGCTCAGTGACATCACGTCTTGCGTGCAGAGGCGTCAGTCCGCAGCCCTCTCCCGGGAGGCCCGGAGGCCGGAGGCCTTAAGTCACAGCTTAGAACGTGCTTCGAATAGCTCAAGCGCGGCCTTTACCTTTCAACCTCCCACGAGCAGCGCGGCCTCGTCAGCGCCGAGCCCCGCCGCCCAGCGCGGCCCGGACCCCGGACACGACTCGCCGCCTGGAGGGCGCCGGCGCGCTCCCGCGCCTCGGGAAGAGAGGTGCGAGGGGCGCGGGCAGCTCACCTATCGCGGTGTTTCCTCCAGCCCCCGCTCCCGGGGGAGCTCTCGCGAGAGGAGCCAAAAGAAGATGGCTGTGCCCTGTATTTCGGCGTGAAGCCGCGGAGGCGGCTGCGGTGGCCGGGACGGGGTTCCTGGCGTCGTGGGCGCCTGAGCGCTAGCTCCCCCCAGCGAGCGCGCGCCCCTGCGTGCCTAGGCGCGAGCCGACTCTTTTCCTCCGGGAGATGCGTTTGTCCCTGGCTCGGGGACACCCTGGGAGTTCATGCTGCGCTGGAGGCGCCTGGCCGCCGCTCTAATCGCCGTGTGCCGCCGCAGCGCCAGCTCTGTCGCCGGCGGTGAGCCTCCCGGATCTCCTCTCTGCCCCCGGCGGCGGCGATGACCGGGGAGAAGATCCGCTCTCTGCGGAGGGACCACAAGCCCAGCAAAGAAGAGGGGGACCTGCTGGAGCCCGGGGATGAGGAAGCGGCGGCTGCCCTCGGCGGCACCTTTACCGGGGGCAGGATTGGCACTGGCGGCAGCGGCAAGGGCGGCAAAGCCTGTCATAAGATCTTCAGTAACCATCACCACCGGCTGCGGCTGAAGACAGCTCCGGCCTCCTCCAATCCCCCCGGCGCCCTGGCCCTGCCGCTGCTCAATTCCTCCGTGACTACCACCTCCCAGTCCCCGGCTCTGCTAGCGGGCACCGACCCCATTGCTGTCGTCGCAGTTGGAGGCAGTTGCCCCGCACAATACCCGGTGCACGAGTGCGTCTTCAAGGGGGATGTGAGGAGACTGTCCTCTCTCATCCGCACACACAATATCGGGCAGAAAGATAATCACGGTGAGGAGTGCTCGCCCCTCTCCACCTCTCCTTTCCCGAGTCTAGGGTGTGCCTTGCCAGGCCTCTGGAATGCTAGGCTCCCTTCCAGCAGACCCTTCTTTCCTCTCCTTTGCTCATCTTCCGGGCGAAATGCCCGTAAATCATGGCCAGTTCAGTAGCAGCATGCCAGTGATCTGGGCATTGGTTCTTGTGGGTGCAAAGGAATGCTTCCTCCCTTGCCCCCTTCAAAGTTTCCTGTTTTGTTTATCTCTGAGTCAGGCGTTCAGTGTGTTGATTCTTGACTGATATTTTAGGTTTCATGTCTTCCAACCTGGCCCTTCTTCCTTCCTTTGTTTATATTTCTTTTTCTTTTTTCTCTCCCCCCCGCCACCACCTTGAGAACTGGAATTCTGAACTAAAAAATTGACTGTCCATTCTTACCCAGATACAGATCCAACTTGACTGCAATTGGTCGTGATTTCTACCTGCCATCAGGTTGCCTCATCCCCCTACCCCCTTGCTTTAGGAAACTTTGATTCAAAGTGTCTGTACTTTGCATTTAAGATGGAATATAGAATGCTTTGGTTTCTGGGAATCACACAGAAGTTTGTAGGCACTTGATACCTAGACCTGTATAGTCACTTGTGAGTAGTTGAATTTTGTTGGGATAGAGTTTGAGTTTTTTGATTTTTGTATGAAGATAACTGCTAATAGTAATGTTTATTTTGAAGATGATTACTAAAGGTAGTGCTGTGATTTTTCGTACTAATTTCATGCCTATATAACATAGTATCTTTTTCAGGGATATTCTTTTTGCCTTAAATTATAAGCTGAATTCTAGTGACAACGTGATTGAGTTAAATTTTAAGCAGCAGTAAATTTTTTAATGAAAACTAATGTAAACTGTTTTTTTTTTTTTTAGATTTAGTGAGGTAGGCCATTTTAAGCTGGGTAGTTGGCAAATATTGTTAGCTCCAGTTTTAACTGAACATGAGTACTGTACATATTAGTTAGAACATACTCCATTCTGTGCTCAAAATATCATATTAATGAAATACTTGCCTCTGCAGAAGCTCCCTTAATTCCACAGGACCCTAGGCTTCTCATCTAAAATTAGGGCAAAAACTGAGATTAAAAAAACAAGATTTCTTGTTGTTTGTACAATTCTCTAACAACTTCACTTTGTGTTCTGAATTTACAATATTGTAATCATATCACTACCTGTCATCATAAATCCTGACAGCTGCACCCAGTTTTTCATTCCTACATTCAATTGATTTTATCATTTTTCACTGTTGCAACAAACATGCTATTATTTGTTTATGACAATTATATTCTAACCCTTAGAATGTGGGAGATGTGTTGGAGCTTCAGATTAGTAGTTATTAGGAAGTTTTTCAGATTTAGTCTTCTTAGTAGTTACAGATTTTATTTTACGGCTGTTGCCTTTAAAAGAGTTACATTACCTTGAAATAGCCCTGAAAACATATAAAAGCTTCCTTTTGAGAGTTAACTCTCTTTGAAAGAGATAGATGAGTATGACTGACCAAGTATAATAGTAAACTATATTAGAACTGGTTTTCTTGGTTGATCACACAAGGTGCAGAATTACAGGATCATTATTGGACTTCCCTTAGTCCAGCATCTAAGAGTTGGTTTCTTAAAGTACAAATTTTGTTCAAAGTAATTAGAATCCTAAATACCTTTAAGCTTTTGTCCTTAACACAGTTTCACCTTTTAAATTGCCTTGAGATATAAAATCATCACATTATGCTTAGCTGCCCTTATATTTTTGATATTTCTAATAAATGTAACCAGCGGTTTATATATGCCTGTGGCAAGTATATTGTTTTTTCCCCTGCAATATACATTTTGATCTCTTGTGAAGTTTCCTAGGTAGTTTCTATTTAATGCTTTAATTTAATGTGTTATTTCTTTAATCCCCTTCTCCCCTATAGCTGCAAAACTTTCCCTTTACATTACTTTTACTCTTGATATTTTGCTAACCTAAGTTCTTTATTAGATTTTTAGAGTATTTCCCTTCCACATTACAGATGATAAATACTAAGTTTTAAATGACCCAAGCAAAAACAAGTTATAGATTATATTTGGGTTGTTATGATACATGCATAGCAGAATGATGCACTCATACAGATACAGAGCAGAGCCATGCAGTAATTATACCACATCATATTAGTTTTATATTCACTGTAGAGATTTCTTCCGCAGCATGATGATGTTTATCATCATCATGGTAGACAGTGTGAGTGTGTCAACACTGCCAAGTGTATACATACATTATCACTTTTAATTCTCACAATAACTCTGCAAAGCAGATAGTTGTATCTTTACTTTAAAAGGTGAGGAAAATGAGGCCTGGAGATGAAACTTTGCTAAATTTATAAATTATATTTAGTATAAGTTCCAAAGCTGGGAATTGCAGTAATAGTTTAGACTCGAAAGGCCATGCTCAACCTCTCTGTTAAGAAGGGCCCACTGTACTGCAAATAACTTATTTCTAATAATGTGTATGTGGCAATTTACAACAAGGTTCATAATATTTTATTTTCCCATTTAGTTCTTATAATAGACTTGTAGAGAAATTCTGCATTCTCTCATTTTTTCTTTTTTTCCCCCTTCTGTGTAGTGGCACAAGTAAATGGGCTAACTTGTCCATTTGATAGTTCTTTTGATATCTGACAAGAGTTATCATGTTCTCCTTATCTTCAAGTTAAACATTCCTAACTTCTGTATCTATTCCTCATATAACATCATTTATAAAATGCTTAGAATAGTTCCTGAAACACACTAAATAATATACAAGTCTTAAATAAGTACATAAAAATCTTAATCACCTTTTTTTTTTTTTAAAGATTTATTTATTTATGCATAGGAGAACTGAGGTACAGGCCAGAAGTCTGTGGGGGTGAGGGGGGTGGGGGGTGAGAGGATTCACCAGAGACAGAGCGGGGACCAAACAGGCAGACTGACTGAAATACACTGCTGAGGGGAGCAGCGGGAGAGTCAGGAGAGGTCCACTGTGCCATGTGGGTTGCTCCCTGGCCGGGGATCGAACTCATGCTGCAGTGGCTGTGGATAGCATTATAGGTTGTGTCTCAACCCCTTGCACCACCAGGGAGGCCCTTAATTACCTTCTTTTAATGAAACTCTAGTTTTTGATTTTTCCTTTTAAGGATGGTGCCCAGAACTAACCTTAGTGTTGGAGCTGTAGTGGCCTTATAAGCAAAGACAAAAGGAGACTATTGTTTTAAACAATATACATTTAACAGTATGTATTACTAAAAGACTCACATTTAGTAATGCTGTGCAAGAGTATTATTTTTAATATTGCTTTCTCTCAAGTGATTGGCAGCCTTTCCATTCTGTCCCTTCTTGCAAATATATAATCCTCAAAGCAGGACTTTACATTTACTGAATTTTATTTTACTAGTTTTTACCTTTATTCTTCGTTGCTGGAAAGTTTATTAAATCCTGATTTAGTCACTATTTAGTTCACTTTTATCTAGCTCTTTCAGCTTTTACTGCTCTTTGATTTAATAGGGTTTTTTTTTAATGCTTTTTTATTTTGCATAGAAGAACTGGGTATAGGCCACAGGTACAAGGTGAGAGGCTTCACCAGAGTCAGAGCGGGGAGCAGAACAGTAGATTTATTGAAATACACTGCTAAGGAAAGCATTGGGCAAGACAAGAGAGGTCTGCTGTGCCATATGTGGGTTAGCTTCTTTGTCGGTGATGTCACTGAGACTTAACCCTTAGGCCACCAGGGAGGCCTGATAATTTTTTTTTTAATGTGTATTTAACAATTACTGACTTAAATTGAATAGGTACAAGGATAGAGCATTTTCTTTTGTTGTAAAATGTGTATTAATTCCTTTTTCTGAGCCATCAGTTATTTTGAGGAATTTTTTATTTGGATTCAAACATCTTGAAATACAAGTTAGTCATAATAACAGTCTACGTCATATGTATACTCTGTTCAAATATGCCAAAGATTGTAACTCATCATATATTTAGTAACAGTTTTTCTTTGGGTGTGGAAAAAGACACTTCATTAAATGTACAAAAATTTATTTAACTTTATGTCTTTCATTACATACTATTTTTGTCTTTTTTTTTTTTTTAAGATTTATTTACCTATTTATGCATACAAGAGCTGGGGTACAGACCAGAGGTGCAGGGAGGGGGTGAGAGGATTCACCAGAGACAGAATGGGGAACAGAACAGGCAGATTGACCAAAGTACACTGCTGAGGGGAGAAGGGGGCGAGCCAGGAGCCGTCTGCTGCGCCATGCGGGCTGCTCCCTGAGGGGGGATTGAACTCGTGCTGCTGTGGCTGTGGACTGCTTCATAGTGCAATGCCTAACCCCTTGCACCACCAGGGAGTCCACTATTGTTTTCTTTAGTATAGAAATGAATTTTGAGACTAAGCCCTTTTTTACATTCAGAATGTAAAGATTTTTCTGAATTACTTTTGCCTTTGGTGGTTGGACAAAGCATCGTAGTGACATGCTGTTTTTTTGTGTTTTTTTTTTTTGTAATTGATGATAATGATTTTTACTTCTTTAGCACTTTAGAATTGAGGACACTTGTAAAGCATATAGAAGACTTGATTTTGACTACACTCTTTGTTAAACCTGTAATTTTATTTCTTCCCTTAATTGAGTTAAATTTCTCTTGGGCATTAGTAGGAAGCTTTTAGGTGTCAGAGTGATGAAAGCCCTTGATATATGAATTGCTCAAACCACTCTTTCCTAGATGTAAAAGTTTTTTCCCTATTCTTGAAGATTTGGCAGTTTCTACTCCCGTTAATTACATTGGCTGGCATGTGACAAGCCATCTTCTCTATACACAGTTAATTTTCATTTTTTATTTAATTGTAGTGTAATTTTGATACTATTTCCCACAATGAATAGATATTTCCAGTTTAAGTTAATATTCAATCAAGAGTATTCCTGTAAATGCAGGTCACTGAAGTGATAAAGAAATGGTTAATGAGTAAC